CACCGACACCAGGAAAATTCCCGTGCTATTTCGCATTCATCATTCTCTAGGCGATGGGGAGGCCCTTCTGGGCCTATGGTTCAAAGCGATAATCGAGGAGGACGAAATGAAAGCGGCAAAAGCGAAGATCAAGGGTATCGCCTCGTCAGGCGACACTGAAAAATGTTCCAAGTCGTTGAAACAGCAAGTGAAAATGTCGACCGATAATACGTGGTGGAATCATAAAATTATCGCACTGAAACATCTGAACAAAAGAATTAAAGAGATCATCCGGCTAACAATAGCTTTACTTTCTTTCCCGAAATATTTTATTCAACAAGCTGTTCGTAGTATGGATGAAAAGTACGTTCAGTATTTAATCCGTTGAATTAAAAAAAATTTGATTCATCTTATTAAAAATAGATGAATAAAGAGATTTATTTTTTTATCAAACTGAATGCCTGAAAAGAAGTAAAAGTAAGATGTTTAAAATTTTTTCTGTCAAAATTAAAATTTATAATTTCACGAAAAATGTATTCTAATTAGATATATATATTATATGCTTTTCTTATATTACTATAATATATTAGAAATTAAAGCAATACTTTACACATTTCGAAAAATAGATCAATTTCAAGTAAATGTAACTTTGACAAAAATGGTTAGAAAAAGATTTCGAAAAATATTTCGAAGTTTGAATCTTTATACTTTTAAATTATATTTTAAATCTGACTGACTTTTTATTGACCTATACACAGATACAAATAGAAATAAGTTAAATCTCGAAATATGTTACAAACTTTGCAAAGTTTTATGCCATAAATGAGAGGTTTGATACAAATACAATTTATAGCTTCCGAAAGCGTGAATGTTTAACTTTAATTTGGTGGTTGTTGATGATCATGCGATTATTTTCTAACCAAGATACGCGATATTGTAGCAAAAAGAGTATCTTTTAACTTTAATTGCTCAGAAAAGACGAATGGAATAACGCTAATGACAAAAAGTGCAAAGATCACGGACACGGTACGTTTTGAAAACAATGTGATTATGTAACAGATATAAAGTGATTTCAACGACGTTTATTAATGTTCAGAATTACGTGCGTGTGTGCGATAAAATAATAAAATGATGATATAGTGCATTTTAAAAAGAATACTTTTTTTTATTAGCGAGTGTTATTCCAATTGTCTTTTATAAGAAGTTAAAGTTAAAGAGACATTTTTTGCTTCAATGCCGAGATGACACTTCATAATTTCTTCGAAGCCAAAAATTCGGCTAGTATTTTTGGAGGAAAAGCGGGAAAGTAGACTTGGAAGAAAACAATAAGTTGTACTTGTTTACTCACTTAGGTGAGTGTAATTTTGACAAAAATGTTTCTTTTTAGAATTTACCTATCGAAGCTGTATGAAGCGTGATACTTTAACCTTTTAACATCGGGGAAATATGAGTTAAAATCGATTTCTTATTAGACGTGAAATTTATAAATAAATTCAATAAATTTCTTATATGGAGCCCCCAACCTGATTGCTGATCGAAATATCGACCAGCCCCGCCCGCAAAGGTAAAGTCCAATGTAAAAAATTTAGCACGAAGGTTTGAGAGTATTTTCCTACATAATTTGATGCGCTGAATACGGGAAAAATAGTGAAAAAAATCCTGGTGGCATCCTTTATCTTGAAAATCGCCATTTCAAGGTTA